GTTGGTGGACAACATTTTACTAAGGAGCAATATTCATCTTTAAATTTCCGGTATGTGATTATTGGTACTGAACGTAATACTATTCTTAATCTTTATGACGTTGAAACTGCCGAACACATACAATCAATCAAGTTTTTGCCTCCTTATGAATGCCGACCGTCAGTGAGTAAGGCTTACAGGAAAGAAGAACTCATGTTTAATTATGTTAGTTTTGATCAGAATACCCATACTTTAATCGTGGCAAATAGTGCTAGAGTTTCGATCTTTGCTCTTCATTTAAATATTCCAAACAAGAATTTGGATAAGTTTGACCTTTTTAATCCGAATAACCTTGCGGTTAGCGGAAAAATAGAACATGAGTCAACGTCGACATCGGAATATTCTTCTACTACGAATTCAGTGCAGTTTGATTACATGATAGAATTTCCTATTGATCAACTAATTGGGAGCTTCGTTATGGTTCCAGGGGCTACTCCTTCTGATGGATTTTCGTTATATTGTTCTCAACAAAAATCCGTGCGACAATATACTATCTCTAGAGACATATTATTGCCACAGAATATTGACGTATGCCCGGAATACGTGTGTGCTGAACGCGTTCTTGATCATCAGCAGCAAGAAACTAAGGATGATGTCAAGGAAGAAAGTAAAAACAATCATGTAGAAACCGATGAAATTTTATCTCAAGTAGAGAATTTAAATCAATCTTCTGTTGAAGAAACTATCATCGAAAGGGCTATGGAGTCTTTAATCGCTGAGGGTGATGTCTCCGATGCAAATATCGTAAATCCTGAATCGGATGAGACGACCTTAGAAAAGGGTAACATAATATTCAAAAATATGCAAGATTCTACGTTCGTTATTGAAGAAAATATGAGCAAGAGCGCTGAAAATCAGAAACCGCAAAAATCCAAGTCGGCTGGTCATTCAAACGGTACCACATCCAAAGCGAAGGCCCCCAAAAAGCAAGGTGCTGAAGTTTTGTCTGATTCAGAGAAGACTAATAATAAGAAGACACGTAATGAAAACTTTATTCATTCTTCTGAAGCATCGAATAAGTCTACTGGCAAAAAAAATGCTGAGGGTAATTCAAA